CCAACTTAGCCTGGCCTTCATCATGGCCTCTTCCCATTCACAAACACTCCTGGCATCTGTTCACATATCTAGCACTTGCCTGCTCAGATCCAACCAGGGCTGGTCCTGGGAATTCAGTGCTGCCACTCAGCCCAGCCCCTCCTCTGCAGCCGGTAACCGAAGTCAATTATGCAGATAATAGGATGGATGTGGCAAGGCTTTTTCATCACAGACATTATTCTAATAGACATGCATACCGCAACCCCAGCCTTGCGACAGTCCATTTCAGAAGACTTTTACTGAGCAAATCAACTGAGCAATAAGAAATGGGAGAAAGTGGTTTTCTCTCAGCAGCATCTGCCACTCCTGCCCTAAGCAGTGAGATCCCAGAGCAGCCCCAGCTGTGAAAATGGACCCCCTTTTTTTCTGGATCCTACTAAGTGGCCAGGGAAAGAGTGTGAGCTATGGTGCCCATCCATCACATGCCTCTTACACTACCCAGCATCCTTCACCTCTTTCACCAAAGCCTTGTTATTCCCTCAGTCCACATTCAGACACACACCTTTTTGTCAGCTACTTAGAATCATTAAGTGAGCTTAATTAGGTTTGTCAATCCCCGAGGCTGGGAGGATGTCGAATAAGGCCTCATATTCACTGCCCGTTAACAGTCTGTTGCCTGAATGAGCTGGTGCATGTTTTCGGGGCTGTGCGTGAGCAGCATCCACATAGCCTCCACAGAGATCTTCTGGATGAGTTCAGGAAGCAGCCACTTCGAGATTTCTCCTGGAAACCTGGCAAGTGACCCAAACTATCACCTCCCAGAATCCCCCTAGACCAATTTTCAACAGGCTCTCTATAAAGCTTGCACAAGATGGAAAGGTGGGTGCATTCTTATGCAAAAGCAGGCTTGAGCCAAGATCTCTAGGCAAGGCTGGTTTAGAAAAGAAAAAAGAAAAGAAAAGAAATGAAACTAGGGAAACCAGCAACAACTCCAGCATTCACAAATCTACTTTGGAGAAACAGAAAGAACCAAGCAGATCGATGGTTACGGGGCTGGAAGCCAACTCTACACAACCAAAGAAAGCGGGGACCTACCTACCAGGCTCCCAGATAGCAGGATGAGCCCCCATGAGCTTACCCTACCTTTTCCATAACCAGTCACCCCCTTTGAGAGGTGGGGGGAAGGCTCTTCTAGCTCTGAAGACAACACTTCCCTCCCTATCAAGAGTGAAAGGGTTGGCAAGGGGTAACCTGTATGTGTGTTAGTCTGTTGTACTCTTAGCAATAATATGCCGTGCACCTTGCTTCCCATCAGTCCTGGGATTTCTACCCATACATGAGCATAAGTGCTAGAACCTAAGGCCTGAGGCCAACTCAGGCTCACTCTGAGGAATGACCTGCTGCCTGTGTCTTTTGTATAAAAGAGTAATTGAACTGGAAAAACTCAGAGGCCTAAGGAAATCTGGCTCATATCAAACTGGGAGAGGCTATCAGAGCCTCCTCTTCTATGGGTCTGCTAAAGACACTCAACCAGACAGTATCCAAGGTAGAGAACCTAAATCACAGCTGGCCTAATGTCCACCTCATCTCTTGGCCAGTTCCCTCACAGCAGCTGAACTCCTAGATGAGCCATGTTCTACATCCTATGCCCATCACCTGCTTCTCCAGACCCTATCCCCACATTGCGTCCACTTCCCCTCTGTCCTGCCATGCCTGTTCACCTCTTTCTGACCTTCATCTATACTTGTCCCACCTGTCCCTTAACCAAGTCTCTGGCCCTACAGTGGACAGAAGGAGCATCACATGTTCTCATGGTGCCATCTGATTGAGTCTTCCCTGCCTGTCCTGAGTGCCTCTGACAATTCCCACTGTCAGCTAAATATTTTTAAATAGCAACTTCCACTGTCATCGTCTTGCAGGATGCTGTAGTGACTCTTGTATTTAGAAACCATTCCAGTCCCTGCTTGCATCATCCTATCCATGCTAAGAGACTGTTAAGGAACTTTGCAGCTCTAATCTCTCAGTCATGAAAAATGAAAGCAGGAAAAGCAGAGCAAGTGAAAAGACTAGAGCTTTCCACCGGGGTCCACAGAGAGAACAGTGGAGGTCTTGACCCTTCCCTTGCTCGAGGGACATACAAATTTGTTTCCTTGCACCTGAAGTCCTTCAAGGAGGTGTGCTGATGATGCAGATTAGCACTGAAATCAACATGTGCCCTGGCCCGTCAGCTTATGGATAATGGATAAAGAGGATGAACCAGGGAGGAGAATGAGAATGTAGCTGTTATGGGATCAATGCCCACTACAGTGCAGGATATCCCACACTCCCAACCAAAGAACATGGTTCTCTCTAGTCATACTTTTCAGTAGCTTTATAATAATAAAATTATTATTAGTATTATTAATTTTTGTTTGGTTTGGGATGTTTTGTTTTGTTTGAGACAGGGACTCAGGTAGCCTAGGCTGGCCTCAAACTCACTGGGTAGTGAATAATGGTGTTGAACAGGCATTTCTTCTTTAGAGTCAATGCATCAGGCCCTCTAATTGTGACCCTTAGTCTGAAAGGGCTATATGTGTGACCAGATTCCACAAGATAGATGATGGCAGAGGCAGATTGGGAATTAGAGTGGTTGAGAATAATTGGTCACAAACATGTTGTTTAGATGAAAGTTCATATCTGATTTTAAGGCTCTTCTCCAGTGGAGCAATAATGGTCCTTTAGCCAGAAAGAACTAAGCCATCATCTATCCCTTCTAAGTGTTGACCAGGGTTACATGCTCAGTCATGCTGGGATCTTCCACCTGGCTGCAATTCATGACCCAGGCGTGTACAGCCTTGTCACATTGGAACAGGACATTGTCATCTACAAAGTTCACACTAAAGAAAAGCCCAATCAAGTTACAATTTTCCTGAAAAGAGCCTCATAATGTTGTAAATAAACTTATGGTTTTGTGTGGGGTCATGATTGCATGTGTCCCAGGTCAAACATACAGGGAAACTTCACTCCCTTCTTGAGCTGAGGTCTAGAGGAACAAAAGACCTTGCCCTCACAGTTCTTCCTGTGTGCCTCTTCCACCTCCCAGAGTGTTTCTCCATGTCCACACCTACCCTGGCCCACATTATCAGCCTGCACAGTCTCTATATATAATTAGATAGATAAATTGATAGATAGATACATAGATAGATACATAGATGATAAATAGGTAATTTATAGATGACAATAGATAATAGATGATGATGATGAAGATAGATAGATAGGTAGATAGATAGATAGATAGATAGATAGATAGATAGATAGATAGATAATTTCTCTCCCCTGTCTGTCTCTCATCCTCCCCGTCTTTTTCATCTCTCCTGTTTCCCTCCTTATTCCCCAACAGCTTGGGAAAGCTATAATTTACATGCCATAACATTTACCCGTTTTTAAGTGTGCAAGTCAATGACTCTCAGCAACTTTCTAGAATTCTACAAAGAATACTATAACCCAGTTTTAGAACGTTTCCATCACCCCAAAATGAGGCTTCATACTAGTTAGCAGTCAATATTGTTCCACAGCTAGCCCCAGGCAACCACTAATCTGCTCTCTGTCTCTACAGATTTGCCTATTCTAGATGATTCCTATACAGAGAATCACTCAATGTGAGGTCTTTAACTTTCTGTCTGCCTTCCTTAACTTTGCATAATGCTTTTGAGAGGCATCTATTTTACAGCATGTCTCCTGGTCCATTCTTTTTTATTGTAGATTAGCATCCTGATGTGTGGCTATATAACCACATGTGCTGTATCCATTCAATGATTGACAGCCATGGCTTCCCTATCTTACTATTTCAACATCCACACCAGAGACTGCACTCTATTCATCAGGTCATTCTGGATCAACTTTCTGAAATCTGGGGAAAGCGTGTTTAGGCTTCTCAAGACTTGGTCTCTTTATCACAGAAGGGGGTGTATAGGGGGAAATCCTAGCCACACCCGCTTGGGGCTGGCTACAGGTAACCCTGACCATGCCTGCTTGGGGCTGGAGACAGGTGTCGACGACCACACCCACTTGGGCGTGGTCAGAGTGATGTGGGAATGGTTTAAGAGTGAGGGGCGCGTGGGGACCTCCTTCTTCCCTTGCTCCCTGCGGCTTGGCTAGGCGGGTCTACGTGATTGGTAATTTCCTAAATAAACTACCTTTATAATCTAGACCTGACTCCATATTGCCATCTGCTTTAGGGTTGGTTGACTGATAGTAGCCTTCCAGGAAGGAGATTTCCCAAGAAAACATAACCAGGAAACAAATGCATCCATGACATCTTTCTGTTTATCTCAGCCTCATGCTTTCCCTGACTGTAGTTGGAGGACCTGGCTCTCTAAGCTATGAAACGGCTGGAAAGAAACATAATCTCAATGAGTTACTGTCCAGACTTCATGACCCATTCTGGCTTGATTACAAGCACTCCCAGGGGAAACAATCAATCATCTAATATTTAACCACCAATCAGAAAACAGTAACTAATACTGGACAAGACCCAGGATGCTCAGTACCTCTGTTGTGCAAGAAATTAACCCTTTGGTTGCTGGTTAATGGGGTCAAGCCATGGAAGGAGCCCAGCTGGCTGAAGCAACAGAGACACTGAGGGGTTGTCCATCAGATGGTCCCATACAGAAGCACTTTAATGTTTGAATAGTGGCTTCAGCCCGACCATGGGTGAGCATGAGCAGGACACCAAACCCACTCATCTCTACGCACCCAGAAAGCAAATATATCCCAAGCTCAGAGCTCCAAACTGGTTTTAAAGGCCTTATATCTGCCATAGTCGTGATGGAGCACCCCTTCAGAAAGGGTTATGCTCTGTAATGGAGAAGTGGAAGTTAGGAAAGGATAATCCCTGCTTTCTTACCAACGCTTTGGGATGAGGTAAGGCTGATGAAACTAGATTTTTGCAAAATACATCAGCACACATGTGCTGAAACTGACTCCTAGGACTTGACCTACCCTAGTGGTTGCTAACATAGATTCTTCTTAACACCATACAGGTTCTGGCTGCAGATCGTCACATGGTGGGGTCCAGGATCCGGGGCAACAGTGGCATTTGACAACATTTCCATCAGCCTTGACTGCTACCTCACTAGTGAGTTTCCCCTGGTACTTTGTTCCCTTAACCCAGTGACCCATGGTCTCATCTCTAGACCACCAATCTTAGCCATCTTGCCTTTTCTACCTTCCTCAGTACAACCTCTTCTCTCTTCCTAAAATTGACTCTGCCTAACTCAGCCCACTGGGCTTTCTCTATTCTAGTCAGTGGGGAGGATAAAATGCCCTCGAATGCAGCACCCAAATCCAGAAATCTGTTTGAGAAAAATCCAAACAAGGATCCAAAATCCTGGGCAAACATATCAGGACCGACGCCCATCTTCGACCCTACAGGTAAGGGTTACTTTGGCACAGCTGGCACCTTTGAACATTATTTCTTGCTGCCAAAGGCAGAGGAATGGCCTGTGTTGTGGCTGGGGTGGGCACTGTGGTTAAAAATAAAGGTTGATCTCCAGGAGAGGCATCACCACCTTTGTTATGGGTCCCCAAGAAGAAGCTGTGTAGGTCTCTCATCACCTTAGTAGTGGTGATAAGACCTAACTAACTACTGGAAATATACCAAAGAGCAACACACAATGGCAGGGAGTGTCAAGCTATGACCAGTGGTTATGACACACAGTGGTAGACAAATGATATAGAGGTAGAGTCAGGAAGATGATAAATTTGAAGTCACCTTTGAGCTTCACCTTTAGGGACCTAGAGAGATGGTTCCATCTGTAAAGTGTTTGCCATACAAGCTCCAGTACCCAGTACCCAGTTCAGATCCCCAGTATCCATGTAAAGAGCCCATCACAGTGACTCACACCTACAATCCTAGCACTGGGGAGATGGAGATGGGGGATCCCTGTAGCTTGGTGGGCAGGTGGTCTTGCTGAAGAGTGAACTCTAGATTAAGTAAGAGAGCTTGTATCAACAAATAAGGTCACCTGAAATCAACCTCTGGCCTTTACACACTTACACACACACACACACACACACACACACACACACACACACACACACACACACACACACACACACACACACACACACACACACACACACACACACACACACACCATGGGTCTTGTTTCTAAGCCCCCTCCCCAAGTGTGTCCCAAGGGCTTTGGTACATGGGTCCTGGCACTTCTCACATGAGAAACAGGTACAGCATACAGTCCACCACATCCTGTTGTATACATCTTGATTGGAATAACAGCATACAGATGATAAATCTGTAATTTCTACTTACAAGGTAGAATCCTGGTTCTGTGCAAAGTACAAAATAATTAGAAGCTTGTAGCTTTGACACCAAATTGGTTAGCTCTCTGCTCATTAGCTAAATTTTAGTTTTGCTTTGCTTTAAAAAAAAAAAAGACAAAAGCTGCTTGAAACTGCTCTCATCCCTTACTGGTTCCTGCCTGATCTGGCCAACTACTAGCTGAGAAGGGGGGTGTCTCCTTTCACCTTCAAAGCCCCCCTCCCAAAACTTTCTAATCCTCCTACAGTCTACCTGGGAACCTAGACTAGAGAGCACTATATCCTGCTAGCTGCTATGACTCACAGAAATATCTAGCCTTCCCATTCATCCATTCAGTGTCCCTTCCTGTCACCCATGCCCGGGGACTCACCTCTGTATACTACCTTGTGATTAGCTTGTGCAACTTACAAATCCATCAATTCAGGAAGGGGACCACAATTCCCTTTTCATTCCCTGTGATAATTAAACATGGTAGCAACCCTCACTCTGGCCTCAATGCCAAACCAGGACTCCAGGAACAACTACTGATTGATTGGTGGGCATCTGGAAGCTTGAGCCAAGTTCTCTAATGTCAACTGCCACAACACTATAGCCAGCATTTAGGGAGCAGTGGTCTACCTGGCCTGAGTCTGGGCTCATTACCACATAGCTAACTCCCTCTATCCACAAAAGGATACTCAATAAAGAGCCCTCTGGCCACTCAGACAAATGAAATCACATGGGAGATGGGAAAGGACCATGACTCCTACCATTTCCAAACAGAATTAGAAGCAAACACTCCTAGAGGGCTCCTGGAGACTCCGGCTAAAACAACAGGCTACCCTAGTGAGCAGCATTACCTCAGAACAAGATAGTCAGCCAGCTCCAGGTCAGAAGGAAGAAGAGGGTATTGAGCCAAAGATGTCTGAGAGTAGCCTTGATGTTCCCTAGGGATGCTCTAGGACACTCAATATGGAGCTGTTATTTTTTCCCAAGAACCCATTGCCACATGGGGAGCTGCTTAAGGTGAGAGAAAGGGGGCTCAGGTCACACAATCCTCCCCTCATGTGCTCTATTGCAGGAGGTATCTGTCTCCCCCATGATTTGGGTTCCCTAGCCCCATTGCAGTGTAGATCCCTCTAGATGTGGACTGGGGGTGCAAAGAGGGTCTGCTTGCAGGATAAGATTTCTGGGAAGAAGGCCACTTCCCACAGGTGTGTCTCCTGAGTTACTGGACTTAGCCATATGGTCAGGGAGAAGGTCCTACCTAGCCCAGGACTCACCTGGCTTTCATCCAGACCCAACTGCTGTCCTTGCCCATTCCTTCCTCAGTCCTTTCTGTGCAGAGCCAATGAATAGCACAACACCAGGATGGAGCACAAAGAACTCATAGTCTGGAAGGGGAGAGAGCAGGTAGACAATGATTTCACTGGAGCAGGAGGCAGTGGAGGGGATCCTAGAAAGGCAAGCATGGGGTACATTCACTCAGTAGCAACCACCCAGCATGCACACAATCCTGGTACCTCCCTGTAGTCATCACTGTGTGTACCATAGCAGGGAAGGGGCCTGAGCAGTACTGGCCACACTGAAGCTTCAGATCCAAGATAGGAGGGTAGGGAGACCAGCAAGGCATGTCTACAATGTCTGCCTAGATCCAAGCTCAGAGTGTTGACCTGGGAGGAGAAAGACAGAAGTGGGGAGAAAGGGGGAGGGGGAAAAGAGGAACAATGATAAAGGAGAGGAGAGGGGAAAGGGATGGGAATGGAAAGGGGAAAGGGTTGGGAATGGAAATCAGACAGTGCCTGCCCTTGAGCTAGGCTTTTTCACAAGTCAGCTTGATCTCATACTGGCCCAGGGTAGTTACTTTTACTCCTATTGAAAGGAGAAGAAAGATGCAATGAAAGCCTGGGAGTGCATGGCTGCTAGGAAGCGGGACCAGGATATGAACCCAAAGTCTGTAGTCTTTTCACCAGCTCTGCCACTGTGGGTAGAAAGCTCTCCAATCAGAGAGAAATGCTGTGTGGGAAGGAGGTAGGGGGACAGTCCCAGAGAAGAGCCCCTGCATGAGCCCTAAACAGTCATCTCCTGACCCTCTGACAAAGAATCAAGGCGACAAGATAATAAGATTTTCTCTCCAAAGTTCAGCGCTGTCAGTTCGCACTGAGTTGGAACAGGGGTGGGTGGCATTTCAGCTCTCCTCCAGGCAGTCAGCACAGAAGCCACTGAAAACACAAAAGCCAAATGAAGCCAGGCCTTAAAAAACCTATTACTGACAATGATCCCCAAAACTCCTTGTGTCCCACCCTCCCAAACCATTCGGGCTCACTCCAGGGGAGTGAGTGGCCAGGGAAGCCTCCAGTCTAGGGGCCAGGGAAAAGCCTGGCCAGGTGATACATTTGGCCTTCTCGGAAGCCTCTGAGTCACTTTAGCTAATCAGATGAAGAAGCTGGAGGAGAAAATGGGGCGAGTATTAAGTCCTGGGAAATTACGTTTGTCAGCTTCGCACATGCAATTACGCTAACCAAATGGTCGGGCTAATGCAATTAGGACTGGGCTCTTCTCTCTCCCTCTCCCTCCAGCCCTAACTCTCTCCACCTCCCTGTCTCTGCCTCCACTTCAGTCTCTGTCTTTGTCCCTGGTGGTAATGTATGATGCTGCCTCTGAGCAGGTACAATCAGACTCCACCAGTCTCCCTCCATAAAAAGCTCAGTTGAGGATTTGAAAGCTCCAAGGCCCTGTACCCCTCTCCCCTCTATCATGGGCTCAAATGTGGCATAGGTGGGATCAAGGGAAACCCAATGCCACAATTTCGGAATCTTGACAAAAAAAAAAAAAAATCACAACCTTGCCTCTTCCAAATCTATCTCTGGGTTTGTTTACCATTTTCAAGTATGCATCTTGAACAAGGAGGGAGAAAAACAAAACTATGTAAAACTCTGGGCCAGTGAGGTCATTGGTGACCTGTTTGGTCCCTGGAACCCAAGATGGAAGAAGAGAACCAATGCCTGAAAGTTAACCTCTGACCTGCCCACAAAGCACCATGGCCTGGGTGTACTCTCTCTCTCTCTCTCTCTCTCTCTCTCTCTCTCTCTCTCCCCTTTCCATATTCTTTTTTAACCCACACACACACTGATGATGATTTAATATATATGTATATTTATATTTATATGTAAAATATACATTTATATAGCCCTGAAAAGAACTCAAGCCTAGGAGTCAGAACCTCCATGCTATGTCCTGGCCAGATCACACTAGCCATGACCCTAGGGTGGTTCAGCCTCACGGGGCCTTGTTCTGCATATCAGCAAACACACAGGGATGGCTCCTATGGGAGAGGCTGGTGTGAACACAGTTGCTTATTATCATTTCTAGGAAGTCTAGCCCACCGTTTCTAAGAAGTCCAGGTCTAAGGCGCTGAAGAGATGACTCGGTAAAGAGTTTACCACAGAAGCATGAGGATCTGAGTTCAGTCTCCAGAACCCACATTTTAAGAAGCTGGGCACACTTGTAACCCCAACACTGGAGAGATATGGGGTTAGCTAGCCAGCCAGCCAATCAAATCAGTGAGCTCCAGGCAAATTAGAGACCCTGTCTCAAGAAACAAGATGAAAGGCACCCGAGGAATCTGTTGGCCTCTGGCCTCCACACTCATGTGCACACATGTACATCTGCACACACACACATGCAAACATTCATCTACACACACACACACACACACACACACACACACACACACACAATGAGAGAGTCAGGCTGAGGCAATCTGGAGTAAGCTTTACTTGGCCCTTCTCTCCAATTAACCCATGGCTTGGCTAATGTGCCCAGAAGTCATGGTGACAGACTGTCCATTTCCACACGTGCTCCTATGATTCAAGAACAGATGCCAATTCCAATGAGAAAGTTCTATGTGTTTCATATAAATTGATTGAGTCTATTTCTGCTAAATGCATTATCCATTCACTCAGAACAACTATCAGAGTTAATAGAATTTGTAACTAGAGCCATTATGTTCCACACACACCCTTCTGGGGATGACGACATTGTTGGAAAGAAGTCTTCCCAGGGCCCAGCCCCTCTTTCAAAACCCGTCTTCTCATTCGATGGGGTCTTTGTG